TTCCCTTAGCCAAATAGCTTGAGAAGTAGCATTGGATGCTGAAACATATTCTGCTTCGGCAGTGGATTGAGCACCAACACTTTGCTTTTTTGATAACCAAGAACAAATGCTTGATCCAAATAAGAAAGCATAACCAGAAGTACTCTTCATGTCATCTATACTTCCAGCCCAATCACTATCAGAATAACCAATTAAGTTCAAATTTCCACAAAATTTTTACATTATCGCATAATCCATTGTTCCTTGCAAGTAGCGTAGAACACGCTTTGCAACTCCAAAATGCACTTGGATTGGTTCTTGCATGAATCTAGATAATAAACTAGCAGCAAACATAATATCTGGCCTTGTAGAAGTAAGATATAGCAAACATCCAATCAAACTCCTAAAAAGTTGAGCTATTAACTTTCTTTTCTCCATCATCTTTTCTAAACTTCTCATTTGCTGCTAATGGTATGGACACAGACCTGTAATCCATCATTTTAAATTTTTGAAGAATACTTTTAGTATACTTCTTTTAAGAAATGAAAATTCTTTCTTTCACTTGAGAAACTTCGATGCCAAGAAATATTTAGCAATCAAGATCACTCATTTCATAAGCTTGCATCATATCTTGCTTGGAATTTTGCATCATCCTTACATCATTTCCTGTAAAGAGCAAATCATCCACATAGAGACAAACAATGATAATGTTGTCATGTTCTTTCTTCACATACAAAGTGGCTTCACTTTTACTTCTCTGAAAATTATTTTTCGGAAAATATGTATCAATTTCATTGTACCATGCTCTTAGAGCTTGCTTCAGCCCGTAAAGAGCTTTTTTTAGTCTATACACCTTTTCTTCTCCCCCTTGAACAAAAAATCCTTGAGGTTGCTCAACATAAATCTCTTCATCAAGTTTTCCATTCAGAAATGCTGATTTAACATCAAGTTTAAATATCTTTCATTTCTTTTGTGCAGCAACAACAATTACAGTTCTAATTGTCTCAAGACGAGCAACTGGAGAGAAAGTTTCATAAAAATCATTACCTGGTTTTTGCGTGAAGCCTCTAGCAACAAACCTTGCTTTGTGCTTTTGAATATCTCCTTCCTGATTGAGTTTGATTTTGTAAATCCATTTTAAACTTACAACTTCTCTTTCTCTAGGAATAGCCACAAGCTCCCAAGTGTTATTTTTTTCGATCATTCGAATTTCTTCTTCCATGGCTTTCTTTCAAACATCATGATTTATTGCTTCTTCATAATTTTCTGGCTCAACACCGGCAAAATTACATCTTTGATAAATGTCACTCAACATTTTTGTTCCTCTTGGAGGCAGTTTTTCATTATCTGAATCTGGGATTTCTCCCCATTGAGAGACATCATCATCTTTCTCATCCTCTTCTTGATTTGAAAATATGATAGCAGTATTCTCTATCTTTTTATCCTCCCAATTCCATGTTGTTTTTTCATCAAAAATGACATCTCTACTAACAACAAGTTTGTTAGTTTTGACATCGAGAAGCCTATATCCTTTTGTCACATCACTATAACCAAGAAAGACACATTTTTGACTTTTTCAACCAATTTTTTTCTTTTCTCAGCAAGTACAAGAGCATAACAAATACAGCCAAAAATTTTAAAATGACTTACAGAAGGTTTAATTCCACTCCAAGCTTCAACTGGTGTCTTGTCCTTTAGTGTCTTTGTTGGACACCTGTTAATGATGTGAACTGTTGTATGCACTGCTTCTGCCCAAAAATATTTTGGCAGCCCTTTCTCATTCATCATAGTTCTGGCCATTTCAATAATTATTCTATTTCTTCTTTCAGATACACCATTTTGTTGAGGAGTATACCCTGTTGTAAGTTGCTTCTGAATGCCTTCATTTTTGCAATATTCTTCAAATTCTCGACTTGTGTACTCACCTCCTCGATCACTACGAATGGTTTTGATGTTGCAACCTTTTTTATTCTTATTCTTGAATGTAGAAAATGCTTCTAAATTTTCTTTCAAGAAATAAACCCAAGTAATTCTTGAGAAATCATCAATAAAGATTAGAAAATAACTTTGATTTCCAAGAGATGGAGTCTTCATTGGTCCAGAAATGTCGGTATGAATTAGTTCCAAAAATACACTTGCTCTCCAAGACACCCCTTTTGGAAAAGACTTCCTGTGTTGCTTTCCCATTATACAACTTTCACATGTATCCACCTCAGTATGTATCTCAGGAAGGCCTTGCACCATGTCCTTTTGCTTGAGAAGCTTTAAACCATGAAAATTCAAGTGACAAAATCTTTTGTGCCAAAGCCATGAATCATGTACAATTTTATTTTTAATGCATTGTAATGAAATTGCAAACAAAAGTTTATTTTTATCATCTTTACTTCAACAATGACTTGATTTGGCTCAATTTTATCATAAATCTTGCAATAATTATCTCTAAACACAAGAGAATAACCATTTTCCATGAGTTGACCAATACTAAGCAAATTTTCTTCCAAGTCAGGAACATAAAGAACATCATGAATTTTCTTACAGCATCCTTTCATGTTGATCGAAATAGTACCTTTACCTTTCGCATCAACTAAGGCTTCATTCCCCATCTTCACTTTAGTAGTGATGCTATTATTAATTGAGAGGAAAGCCTTTTCATCTCCAGTCATGTGATTACTACAACAACTATCAACATACCATTCATTGCTTTTTGTTGAAGCATCAGATTTAGAAGCAAAGAAAAGATTTTCTTCCCTTTCTTCCTCATGTTTTTCACAAAAAATTGCTTGCTCCCGTTTCTTGTGCCAACAATCCTTTTCAACATGGCCAAACTTTTTACAAAAGTTACATTGGGGCTTGCCTTTGTGCCAACATTTTTATGCATTGTGATTAGTCTTTTTGCAAGTTTTACAAAAAAGACTAGAGTTTTTCTCACATTTTTCTTCAACCTTCTTGGAAGAACCATTATGATCCTGCTTCTTTTTTGGCTTTTGATTTTTCTTCGGATGACTTTTTGAGAAATTTTGAGAATTCTCATTTATTTTAGACTGGAAAGCCGTTTCTTTGGGTTGATCTTCACGAAAAAATCTTCGCTTCTCGTGTGCATGAAATGATCCAACTAGCTCTTTGATGGAAAGCTTAGAAATATCTTTCGCCTCCTAAGTGATAGCAACGATGTACTCATACTTTTCTGTGACACTAATTAGAATCTTTTCCCCAACTTGTTGGTCAGAAATTGTATCACTCTGATTTCTCATTATATTAACAATATTCATGACTCTTGTGGAATATTCATCAATTTTTTCAGATTCTATCATCTTTAAATTTTGAAACTCTCTTCTAAAAGTTTGAAGATTTATAGTGCGTAACTTTTCATCACCATACACCTCAGTTTCCAGAAAATCCCAAGCTTCCTTTGTAGTCTCACAAGTAGCAATTTTTTCAAAATAAGCTCTTGAGACTCCCTTTTGGATTTTGCTCAAGGCTTTTGCATCTTGACGATACTTAGCCTCAAGATTTTTCATCTCTGCTGCTGTAAGATCACCATCGTTTTGTGGATCTTCAAAGCCATTTGCAACAATAGTCCACAAACCTTCAGCTTTCAAATGTGTTCTCATTCTTATCTTCCAGTATTCAAATTTAGTTCCACAAAAAAATGGAGTAAGAACAACTAAAGAATCAGCACCTTCATTTGTTTTGGAGGCCATATTTTTTTCTTCACCTAACCCCAAATTAAGAACGAAAACCTGCTTTGATACCAATTTGTAGGAAATATGAAAGGAAAAATAATATCTTTAGAAAATGATTAAGTTTATTACAGGCTACTTAAGGCCACTTGAGATGATTAAAATCATCAACTACATCACTATTTATACCACTCAAAATAGAAAACAAAAGTCTTGCACAAATAACTAAAAACATGTTTCACAATTTACTAGATACATGTACTACGAAATTCCAATTTTGGAAAACTAAACATTGATGCATTAATTCCAACAGAAATAACAAAGAAAGGAGATACTAAATCTCACATCTCTTGATGGAACAAACTTGAAGGATATCGAACTAGAGATTGTCAAATTTTACAAGGGATTGATGTTGCTCAAGCCTTCCTGTTGTAAATGCTATGATTAGGCAACAAGCGCCTGTTCTTTCACATGAGCTACAATATGTGCTGAATAAAGATATTAAAGATGCTGAAATTCTAGAAGTCATAATCAGTCTGATAAATCCCCCGGGGTTGATGGATTTAATGCAACTTTTCATAGGGCTGCATTACCAGTGATCAAGGCAGACATCATTGCAGCTGTCCAGGAATTTTTTCGCATCCGCAAAATGTTCAAACCTATTAATTGCACTGCTGTAACTTTACTACCTAAGACTACTAATCCAATTACAATCAGGGATTTCAGGCCTATAACATGTTGCACGGTGCTTTACAAAATAATCTCTAAGGTATTGGCCAGGAGGATGTACAAGGTTATAGCCATAATTATTCGTGAAGTGGGAGAAAGATTGTTGATAATGTCATTCTAGCATATGAGCTGGTACAAACAGATACTGGAACACATATTTCTCACAGATGTATGCTAATAGTTGATCTCTTAAAGGCCTATGATAGTGTTGAGTGGGTATATTTGAGGCAGATATTGGAGTATAGATGGATCATGGAATGTGTGCAAACGGTGAGCTACACTTTTAGCCTAAATGGGGAGTATACCACCCCTTTTGCTGTACCTAAGGGGTTGATACAAAGGGACCCATTGTCCCCTTGTCTTTTTGCGATTGCAATGGGGGGCTACATGAATTGCAACATGACAAGGGTAATCAGTATCATCCTAAGTGTGATAATTAAGGTTAAGTTGACGCATATTTGTTATGCAGATGACTTACTCTTATTTGCAAAAGGAGATCTCCAATCAATAAGTGCATTGCATAGTGTTTTTGAGCACATTTTTACTGGTTCTGGATTGAAAGCAAATTGAAACAAGAGCAATGTCTATTTTGGTGGTGTCTCACTATATGATCACGATCTGATTTTACTACATCTTGGGTTTGTAGGTGGGGAGTTGCCTTTCAAATACTTACGAATTCCCTTGTCTACTAAAAAACTCAAACTTATCCAATGGCAACCACTTATTGAAAAGACAGTCAGTCGAATCACTTCTTGGACAACAAAGAGACTTTCATATGTTGGTAGAGTCCAATTGATTCAAACAGTGCTCTTTGGGATACAATCTTATTGGTCGCAAATGTTCCCCTTGCCTATTAAGGTAGTCCAAATAATTGAAGCTTATTGCAGAAGCTATGTATGGGCAGGGACTAACACCATCAACAAGATGGCTTTGATTGCTTGGGATACAGTTTGCTCACCTAAGTCTGTGGGTGAACTTAATATCATTAATTTGCTTCTATGGAACAAATAAGTCATTGCTAAACTTTATTAGGACCTTACACAGACACAAGATAGTCGTTGGATACGATGGATACATGCATACTATTTCAAGACTCAGATGTTGGGTTTTATTTGCCCTAAATTTCTTACCATAAATAGGTTTTCCTTGTAGGAAAGATTTTGGATTGACTAATCTTTTTCTTGCAGGAAAAGGTTTAGGACTCTATAAATAGATGCATGTTCCTTCTAACTTAATCAACATTCACAATGTAGTCTTAAGGGCTTTGAGAGTTTTGGTTAGGGGGAGAATTTGTGGATCAAAAGCTTGATACATTATCAGTTGTGTGAACCTCCCATGTATTCCGAGTGAATTGGTTGAGGTTGTTTCCCTCTGTATTTGTACTCTCATATTCATAGTGGATTGCTCATCTCCTTTGTGAACGTAGGTCGATTGGCCGAACCACATTAAATCTTTGTGTTTTTTGGTATATTTCTCGTTATCATCTTACTCGTGGTCTTTCGAGGTTTGCATTGCTAACTTCCGCATTTACACCTGCTTATTTCCGGTCCTAACAAGTGGTATCCGAGCCAGATTCACTGACGGAGTCAGGTTCAATGGTTCGATAATCGATGATTGAACAAGGTTAGAAAGATGTGTTCATCTTGGCGGTGTAGTTTTAGCAGTAACCTTTTTTACAGTAGAAGATTTTGTTGGAGAAATTGTTTCAGAGAGATTCTTTGTGTTGAGACATAAATTTTGCAAAGGAGATTATGGAGAGGAGAAGCGAGTTGTTGAAGACTAAGTCAAGAAGGTGGACAAATTTATTTTGTCAGAAATTCAGGCCAAGGGGGAGATTTGTTGGCTTTTATTTGCCCTAAATTTCTTACCATAAATAGGTTTTCCTTGTAGGAAAAGGTTTTGGATTGACTAATCTTTTTCTTGTAGGAAAAGGTTTAGGACTCTATAAATAGATGCATGTTCCTTCTAACTTAATCAACATTCACAATGTAGTCTTAAGGGCTTTGAGAGCTTTAGTTAGGGAGAGAATTTGTGGATCATAAGCTTGATGCATTATCAGTTGTGTGAACCTCCCATGTATTCCGAGTGAATTGGTTGAGGTTGTTTCCCTCTGTATTTTGTACTCTCATATTTATAGTGGATTGCTCATCTCCTTTGTGGACGTAGGTCGATTGACCGAACCATGTTAAATCTTTGTGTCTTTTGGTATATTTCTCGTTATAATCTTACTCGTGGTCTTTCGAGGTTTGCATTGCTAGCTTCCGCGTTTACACCTGCTTATTTTCGGTCCTAACATCAGAACCCTTCCACAATGGTGATACCACAACAAGCATGTTGGATGATAAAGAAGATTATGGAGGCTAGAAAGTTTTGGGCACAAGATAGTGGGTCTAATATATCTGGCAAGAGAATCCTAAGAGAAAAATACTCAGAGCTGCTTGAAGACAGAGCTAGAATTCCTTGGAAGGCTACTATGTTTAGTAATGCTGCAGCACCCAAAATTGCGTTTATAATATGGGTTCAACTAGATGCTAGGCTGCTAACCAATAGGCTCTGGAAATGGGGAATGGAGATCAATCCCACGTGTGTGCTATGTAATCAGGAAGATAAGACGCAGGATCATTTTTTTGCGCATTGTGAATTTACTATGCTAGTTTGGGCAAAGATGTTGCTTTGGATCCAGAGACAGAACCCTCAGACTACCAATTGGAATGAGCATCTTCAGTGGGTGATCAATTCTTTAAAAGGGAAATCTATGCAGGTACAAGTATTTAAAATGGTGTATGCTGATACAGTCTATGCACTGTGGAATGAAAGAAATCAAACGGTGTTTGAAAGGAAAACTTTGGAACCTAATCATATTGTAAGAAGAGTAGATTATATTTGCAATGTTAGATCTACAACAACGGTTAGGACCCTTATACAAACGTGGCTATTGTAAATATGAGATGTTGTTAGACTTTGAGTTAGAATTGTAATGTAGTTGCTGGTTATTCTAAGCTGACTGAGTTGGACAACTATGTGTAATGCTTTTCACCGGTGATAAATCAAAACTTTAGTTACCTAAAATAAATAGTTTAATTATGTTTCATAATTATAGTTTGTTAATTACGATTTGTAGCTACATGTTAGAAATGTTATAACTCAATAACACTCCTACTACAGAATCAATGATAACAACCTAATTAAACACTAGTTCTAACATGTTTGGCTTCGTTCTTCACCTTTAATCATTGTCATTTATTGACTTGAGAAAGTTTAAATTCTTGTGCAATAGCTGCTCCGCTTTGTGTATTTTCTCTTCTTCCTTCTATATGTTGCACTCCGGAAGCCTAGGATTTGATAGAAGAAAAGATCTTACTTAATTTACTCGAAATACAAAGATATTCATACAAGTGATATCACTTGTGTCTAACCGTTTCTCCCCCTGCACAAAAATCTCAAAGCCCCTTTGAGAGACTTTCCTTGTAGAACGCAACCTCTTTTAACTCAAAATTTAATCCTTGGTTTTGATCGCCTTAGGGAGATGTTTAGAAGATGAACCAAAGGTTGGTACAGATTCGGTGTGGAAGGATAGTTCAATGAGGGACTCACCATGACTTGGTCCCCTTTTGAACTATCACCATTAGGGTGTACATGACCGGGTTGGTTCGAATTTTTCAAATATCAAATCAAACTATTTGTGTCAGATTTTTGAATTTACAAACCAAACCAAAACAATAAAACTCGGGTTTTTTGACTTCAGGTTTTTCGGGTTTCTTCGGGGTTTTCAAATTTTTGGATTTTTTCTATAAAGTATTCATACAAATATATAATTTACTTTTACTTTAAATATTTCTTTAGTCCTACCAAAATACAACTACCTAAGTTATTTCTCAAAAAAATAACAAAGAATATGATATGATTAATGACACTAAAATATTAAACAAAAAAATTAATACTAAAATCGCGTAAAAAATATTGCAAATTAATAAGTCATAATAAAATTAATCATAATTTAAACTTTTAAAGTACTAAATCATGCTAAAATAAGTTTAATAAGTATTTGTTACATGACTAAATATTAAAAGAAAGTAAAATTAGATCATCTATTTTAATTGTCTAAATCTATGTAAAACTAAAAAAGTAAATATTCAATATTATTGTCATTCTGAGTGTTGAATTGACTTTCATTTTGCATTAGTATTAATTTGATTTTTACTTAAACTTTATTATCATTACCAACATGTATGGACTATAATCTTTATCAGATCATTGAGAATTCTAACTTCCAAAGATGAAATAAATATATTAAAAGGTAAAAACTATGAAAAAGTATAAGAGATATTTAAAAATTATATCAAAATAAGTATTTTTACGTATAAAATTAAATTTTAAAATTAGAAATATAATGTGGGATTGGTTTGATCTAGGGTTTTTTTTTAGTTGAAACCAAACACACCCAAATGTAGTCGGTTTTTTTTTCTCAACACCAAAACAAGTCAAACCAAATCGTAGTCGAATTTTTTTTCGATTTGACTCGATTTGCGGGTTGATTCGATTTTCGTTTCGATTTTGTACGCCCTAATTACCATGACTAATGGATTCACTAATTGGCTCCTCAAACTCCCAATTTTCTCCCTATGGTATTAGAAATAGGAAGATACATGCTTTAAAACGCAGGATCCTATAGTTCTGATGTCTATTTAATTTGAGTGAAATGAGATTGAGATGGTAAAAAATATGGATGTTGCAGTGTCTCTTTTTGACAAAACCAAATTGTCTTCAATTGCTTGTATTGAATGGTCTTTAATGTATTTTATGACATTTACTCTCATACTTATAATTATTTTCCTATGGGACGTTAGTAGCTTGTCTCTTTGCACATATATTATATTGTTCATGTAATGTTAAGAGAGGAGCGGAAAAAAATAGAGAGATATCCTTTGAACTTTTTTTAAAAAAATGATAGAGAGAGATATTCTTTCTTCTAAATGTATGGTGCTTGTACTTGTTTTTCACACTGTTTGAAACTTTGTCATTGTGCGTCTAATTCTATATTAGATGAGCTTGTTGAGTTCTATGGGATACACATATAACGGGTGAAATATTGAGAAGAATAATGTCTTTATTTAACACGCCTCAAGCTATGCGAATTATCTATAAGTGTTTGTGATGAAATATTTTCTGTAAGATTTTCACCATAATTAGCTTAGGCATTGCCTAGACTTCTGTAGAGTACTCAGCCCTTTCGAGGGTTGAGGGCAAGGCACAAAGATATTATTCCTATTGAAGAAGGTTAAAGCCAAGGGGAAGATTTGGTAGTTATGTCTTGAATTTTTCCTCGATATATTTTAAGAAATTCATAATTTATATTGGTTTAGGAGACCCTTAGCCCTAATAGATTTGGGAATGAATACATTGTCCTCTTAAGATTGGGAGAACCTTTTTCTTATATGTTTGAGTATACTTGAGATCTATTCATAGGGGATGTAGTAGGAGATTTTAACGCATGTACACTTATTTTTTTCTTTTATAGTGAAAAACTCTACTTGCTTTTGCTTGGAATGAAAAACTCTACTTGCTTTTGCTTGGAGGATTAGGCCAAACCAAACTTCATTAAATCCATCTATTATTTTTTCTGTATTTTTCTTTATTTATTATTATAACTCTAATGTGGTTGAATCCCTTTTGTTGATTGGCTACAAATGTGTTAACCGCATCTAAAGATCTGTTAAATACAATCACTCGATGAATTTTTACAAAAATATTATCTCTAAACCCCACTCCCATATAATAGTGCCAAAATTTTGATGTCGACCAACAAGATTTGGATCGAATCCTACAAAGAGCATTGTGAGGGTATCTCCAACCCAAATATCAAATTTTGTCTCAACTCCAATTCGTTGCACCAAATTTTACACCAAAAAAGAATATTTTTCACTTTCTTCATTATTATATTTTTTATTTTTTATTTCTTTTATATTTTAAATTTCATAAAACAAATTCTTTCTAAAAACATTCACCATATATAATTTATATTCTTTCCTTTTATAATCATTTAAATATAAATTTATTGTGTACCATATTTTTTAAAATAATATAAATTGCTAGCAAATATTATTCATTATACATAATAATAGATAATAAAAATAAAAGTGAAATCATTAATGAAATACAATTAAATAAATATTACAAATTAAAAGAAAATATTTTGAATTCTAAATAAATATTCAACTTTCAAGATCACTACGTTGTTCCCCATAAATGCTCTATTAATGCATTAAGTAGTTCAAAATAAAAGAAAGCGCTTTGAAAAGAATTGAAAGAGGAAAATAAAATTATATTTATGAATGTGGATGGTATTGCTGATCCAAATGTTCGTGAATTTATTCAACAATAACAAAGTCAAATAATGGAAAAAAGAAGTCAATAATTTCAGCATCCCCAACCACAACCACAATAATTTTCAACCCCATATAATTCATATTTTAATAGTATTGATGAATCTGGAAAGAATCTATCAGACTATTAAGTCATTATAGTAAATTTTTAAAATTATCATGTTTTGTTGTACTTTTTAAAATTACTACGTATTTCAATTTTGATGTACGTCAATTACTACTTTGTTAAATGTTTATTATTTTTTGTTACTTTTAAGTACATTGTATTATTTGTTTAAAAATTTATGAATTAGCATTTTTAATTTTTGTGAAGGTTAATTGTAGTTTATATTATATAATTTATAGGAGAATTAATATAAATTTAATCTTTTTAAAAATTCATATATAGAAAAAATAATTTATCAAAAAGAAAATTTATGTCTAAAATTAATATTATAAAAATATTACATAAAAATGATTAAATATAAAAGAAATTTAATTAAAACATTCAATTTATATAATATTTAATAAAAATTTTGTATATTGAAATAATATTATAATATTCAAAAAGTAAACCGGTATGATGAATATTGTTACACCAAATTTGATGTAACACTATTCATACACCAAATATGATGTGAAAATTGGTGTGGATTGGAGCTCAAAAGATCAACTTTTACACCAAATATGAAATCTGATGTTGGATTGGAGATGATATGAGAGAACTTAAAATTTGTAAATGAAATCCGATCTAATGATTACTATTTAAAATAGGAATTTAAATGGGAAATTATTATGATGTATTGTATGAAAGACAAAACAGAGTTATGTTCTTGGATATCGAAATTCAAACAAATAAATTGTCACGACCCAAATCGAGCCGCGAGTGGCACCCACACTTACTCTCCTATGTGAGCGAACCAACCAATACAAAATCCAACATCTCAATATAATAACAGAAAGTAATGTGGAAGACTTAAATCTCATTAATGAACATTGATTAAATAACTTCTAAAACTCAATAACTATTATTATCCCCAAAATCTGGAAGTCATCATCACAAGAACATCTATCTCAAATTACTAAATCTAAGAGTATCTAAGAAGCTAAAATAAGTAAAAGCTAGTCCATGCCGGAAGTTCAAGGCATCAAGACATGAAGAGGAAGACCCAGTCCAAGCTAGAAGCATTAGCTCACCCTGAAATCCGGTGTAATGAAGACTGGCTAGAGTTGCGGTTGAGTTGAAGACGACGGCACGTTTGCTGCACTCCACAAATAACAAAGAAAGAAACATACAAGTAGGGGTCAGTACAAACACAAGTACTGAGTAAGTATCATCAGCCAACTCAGAATAGAAAATAGTATATATCAGATCATATCATAAATCAACTACAATACTCAATCTGTAGCAACAACATGTACAAGAATGTTTGATAAATAACGTCAAGTACACTCATGAGGACTCAAGCCTCTATATCATACTCATTTGGGAAATAGGTTCTTTTCGTTCGAATTTATTAACATAATTTCAAGATTCATTATCTTTATTCCTCTTGTGTCGGTACGTGACACTCCGCTC